ACCACAGAGTCCCAGGTCGGATCTAACACTGTCTCTGCCCCAATACTGGACAGAGAGCTCAGGATGCTGTCTCTGCTTTCCTTGAAGGGTTTCTAGTGCACTAGAATGACTGTTAGGCCATCGGTCGAATTCAGCTCCAGCCCGCCTTGGTTTTTGATGCCTCAGAGACTCATTTCCTATATTCCGTAGTGAGAGGAGGTGACTTTTTGAAGCCAAGATGGAGAGGGAAAAGTAGGGTAAAACACTCAAATTCAAGTTAGTTTGATGCAAAAATCCTCTGTCATAAATAAGGGATATTTCAACAGCACCAAGCCCAGAGATCAGTGGCCGTCTTGTTATGAAGTGTGCATGTGTATGAATTTAGTAGGAATATCTCTCGGCACATCTGGATAAGTAAGTGGGATGGCAAGATGAAGTGTGGAGCTGACAACCGATGTATGAAAATCAAAACATTCAACTTTTGTCCCCAAGTTCTTCTGTTGGTTAAACCAAAACTAATCCCAGATACTAGAAAAGATACTCCTTTTGATTCTAAAAATCTTTCCTTTATATGATTTTTTCATTAAGTATTCTCTCTAACATTATTATTATCATTATTTGAAACAGTCTTGATCTGTTGCCCCAGGCTGAAGTGTAATAGTGCCACCATAGCTCACAGCAACCTTAAACTCCTGGGCTCAAGTGATCCTCTTGCCTCAGCCTCCCAAATAACTGGGACTACAAGCAGCCTGCTTCAATGCCTGGCTAATTTTTCTATTTGTAGTAGAGGTGGGATCTTGCTTTTGCTCAGGCTGATCTGGAAGTCCTGAGCTCAGTGATCCTCCTGCCTTAGCCTCACAGAGTGCTGAGATTATAGGTGTGAGCCACCACCATTTCCAGCTCTTCTAACCATATTTTTAAGGGAAATTTAAAACTTTTAAAACAATGAGTAGAAAAACTGATCATGGGGAAACCAATTGGGGGTGATGTCAGGAAGAGGGTGACCCAAAGGGTAGGGAGGGCAGGAACCCTGGAAAATGCAGGCCAGAGGCACTCTACTGCGCTCCACTGCACGCAACATTCTCAGGAGTCCCTAGTAAGAAGGGCACTGGGAGAACAGAATGATGGGATGTGCTGTGGAGAAGGACTCAGGTCTCCTGATTCCCTAAGAGCTGGCACCACATGTTCTAGCATACTCAACTGCTCCCCCTCCCCCATGGCTCTCCCATGCAACTTTCCTGGGTGTCCTACACTGTAGCTCAGCGGCCAAGTCATGCTGTTTCCCACAAGCATGGAGCTGTCCTGGGTTCTGGGCACAAAGTTAGCACTAAAAAGATACATAACTGACTGGCGCCTATGCTACCCAACGGTGATCCAGCTACAGTGTGGAAGGGGGAATGCTCAGAGCTTCAAGCTGACCCGAGTTCTCAGACTGGCCAGAGAATCCTACAGATAGAGCCCTGCAATCAGCTTGATCTTGCTGTATCTTTAAGAGACCACATGTCTAGACCACGTGAGATGAACAGTCCTGAATATATGCAGGAGGCTAGGATGGTGAGTCTAAAAACAAAATCTGAAAGGGGAAACGGAAACCAAGGGTCATGTTACACCATGCTGGGTTTTTCTCCCTCCTGGTGCTTCACTGACCCTGAAGGCCAGTGCTTTTCATCTGAGCACGCTCTCCTCACCTATCCACCTATCTTTATAAGAGGATTGGACTTTGTTGGAGTAGATGGTGAGGCTTTGGCTTAAGAATTCCCCAAGGAAACTACAGCCCACACCTGAGTTTTGGTTGAGCCGCCAAGTCCACAGTGTCCAGCCTCTTTACCCTATCGCCTGCAGACTCCCCCCACAGGTGCTGGGTACAAGAAATGTTCTAAGCAAATCGCTCAGTTTGCTGTGGCCTTGACCCAATGTGTGGGCGATAGCTTTCTTAGCTGAGGTAATGTTCAAGCACGACTTGCCCAAATTTTTATTTTTAGTCCACTAACTCTTCATAACAGATGTCAGAGAAAAAGAACAACAGACCCTATGCCATCCACAATAGGAGGCAACTGTCTGCCATTTGCTATGGGTGATCTCCCCGGTCCCCTCTACCCAGGCCATACCCAGTCACTGACCAATTGCTTTTTTGATGCTTATTGACTCATTCTTCCCCTGGAGCATCTATCTGGCTGTTGGTGGTTTGGAGAGGGCCCTGCTCTAAGGTTTTCATTCACTGCTATGCCTGGAGGTCTTGGTTGTTCCTTCCCAAGCTTCCTTGACACGCCCTTGGGGTTCTCAGGGACATTCATTATTCTGCATACAAGACCTACTTCTCCAGTCTCCAAAGAAACTACCTCCCAAGACGGGTTCAAATCTAGTGGCATCACAGCAGCCCCTGTGGGTTTGACAGGTTACATTTCCAGGGTTTTCAACCCCCAGCCTGGGAATCAGAATCACCTGGAGAGCTTTCTCAAAATGCAGACACTGGGGCCCTAACTTTGGAACTTGTAATTCAGTGGCTTGGAGGGAGGTCTGGCTATTTTATATTTAGAAAGCAACATTTGTGATGCTAAAACACTTGGAGATTTTAGAGTCTGTGGGTTAGAGATATGGTCCTAGAGGCTAAGGAGGAGGAACGCTGGAGGGAACGGAAGGAAGAAGGGGAGGGTGGAAGAAGAAAGAAAGGAAGAAATGGCCATAGGAAGGTCAAAGCAATTAGGGAAATTGTCTGAAAGCAGGAGCACTGGGCTAGGAAGTGCTTCTGTCATGAATACCGAAGCAGAAGCCAGTCTCAGCTGAAGGTGTGCATATGCGCATGTGTGTGTGCGCACACACACACGTGTACACACACATATAACATGGCCATTTTGGAAAGGGGCTGGGAAAATCAGAGAGAGGCATGTCCCACGAGTCTGGGATTGTTTCTTCACCTCTGACACGTTTTCCATCCCCAGCCTGAGCTCCATCTCACACACCCCAGGGGGAAAAGCACAACACAGCTGCTGAAAATTGGTGGTTGCAGTTGTGTGCATCTTCTCGTTCCCCACTCGCTGTCATTATGACAGTGTTTCTTTGGGTCACATCTGGCTGGTGGGGTATCAATGACTTGAGGTGGGGGAGAGGAAGGGAGTGATGAAGGAAGATCACAAAAACACAGCATGGTCATTGAGCAAAGGAAATTATATCGATGCTCCCCACCCCACACCCACACTCCCAGTGCCACCTGCCCTCAATTCAATATCATGAAAGGCTTTTCCATAGCAACGTAAGAACGCGTTTGAAGCTCAGGGGTTGAGGCCCCAAGGCGTAGTCCCATGCAATCATTTATTCCATGCACATAGGCAGAAACTGACCATTAGCAGAAGGATGTTTCTGCCCTTGGCTGGCCAGAGGGACCTACCCAAGGAAGGACTAGTTAGAGCCACTTGGGAATTGGATTGGTTTGCTAAATGAAATAAATTTGCCTAAGTGTCCTAAGCTCAATTTCCTCTGTCTTACAAATTACTCAAAACCAAGTTCTTACTGAGCATGAGCCTGAGAAATGTTTTCCAGGGTTTCATTATAGGTGGAGGCAAAGGAGATTTGACTTTTGTCTTCTTTTTTGAAAGTATCACAACTCTGCAAGTGTGCCATGGCATTGGTCCAGCTGTACCACCATCAGTCAGTTTAGAATTTAGTCAGCTTCCCAGCCTGAACAGTTCTTGTTTATGACTTAATGTTCAGAGCCCGGGAGCACCCCTGGCATGCAAGGACACTTGAAGAATGTTTGCTGGGTACAAAGTACTCAGGCAAATTTCAAGGGTTCATTTACAGAGAGGTCCAAATTTCATAGCAACACTGGGTTTTGGCATAAAAATCTGGGAAAACAACAGGGTTTTTGAATCAACAGGACATGGTGCTCAAAAAAAGAAAATTAGAAGACAGAATACTGTACGCCACATTGCTGAACTGTTATCAAACTCTTCCTTCGGATACAGGAAGAAGTCAACACCTCTCTTGGCATTATTTCCTCTGTAACTGGCAGCTCTGCTCAGTGGGAAGCATTCTCACTCTTCCCTGCTTTCATTTGCAGACATGTTCCCTAGGCAGGCTCTAGATTATTTTCACGATGGCCAAATAAATTTGACTATTTGCAAAACTCTGAGAGAGATGGTATTTTTAAGACTGGCAACATGCTTTTATTCACCCGAATTTTGGAGAACAACACTGGATTCTGGCAAGTCGTGTCTCATGCTGAAGTAGGAGATACTACAAAGAATATATTTTCTGGAGTTTGTCCTAATAATGGACTTGACTCTGCCAGTAATGAAGACAGCTCAAATATGGTGTGTAAATTTGCCTGCGGGACAGGCTGTCTATAGATCCGGCTCTTCGGTGGCTCCTAGGCCAGCAAAGTAGTGTAGCCTGCTGGATGATAAAGGGGGCATCTTCAAAGTAAGAGAAGATTGATTGGTTAGCTCTAAAGAAGGGGTATTTCTAAATACACATCACATAACCATCAGGATGTTCTGACAGTACTAAAAATGACACCAGTGCATTTGTGGGATGGCGGTTCTAATGTTAAGAGTAATAAAAAATAAAGCTGTAATAGCTCTACTATTCAACAAAAATGGTTTGTTTAAGTAGTTTCTTTTTAGAAGACTAGGCCTGACTTTTTCTTCCTCCTGAACTTCTACTTTCTATGCTCTCTTTTGGGGAAAGAGGCAAGAAAAGGGACTCGACAATGGGAGAAGGAGTTGAACAGACCCTGTGGCAGGCTTGGCCAGCTTATTCCAGAAACTGACCCCACAGCTATGTCTCTCACTAGGGTCAGAAAAACAGAAAGGTGGTATTTGAATGGGAAGAAGGGGCTCAGTAGGAGAAAAGTTCATGCTTTGTTTCTCTTTGTTTGTGACCTCGAAGAAATCACAGACTCTCATCAACTATCGCATCAGGAAGGGTATGTCACCCCAACACCGTGGGGGGAGAGAACAGAGAGGTGTTGAGGGAAGACTGTGCCCCTGCCCTGCGCTGCCCACTGCCCGCTGTGTACGTACCCAGTACAGCACGTCCGTCCAGCCCTCCATGGTGATGCACTGGAACACGGTCAGCATGGCGAAGGCAAAATTGTCAAAGTTGGTGATGCCGTGCTTGGGTCCATCCCACCCAGGCTTGCACACTGTGCCATTCTGGCACTGCCGCCCGTGTCCTGTCTCCAGTGCACAAGGAGAAGGGTCGTCTTCTGCTGGAACATCTCAAATGGCCAGTGGGAAAGAGGAGATGGAAGCAGAAGGGAGGCAGGGAGATGGGCAGAGAAAGGAGAAAAGAAGTTAGAGGGAAAAGTGATGGGGTCAGGTTGATGGGCGGGCAAACAGCAACAGCAATGCAGGACACACTGGATTTAGTCCCCCCACAGAGGAACCAAACAACGCTGGGAACCAGGCATCCATCGCAGGCTGCCGTCCATTTAGTAGCTTAGTCCTTTTAATGGATTGTTATAAAAGCTGTCTTTTAACTTGAGTAACTGATTTCAAAGACAACCATTTTTATTGTCCATTCTGCTGTAACATGTCAACATCATAGTCAAATGGCAAATAAAAAAGCCCAATGATCCCACCATTTCAAGTGGAAATTGTCCAGAAAAATGAGAGGAAGTCCACCTTTTCTTTTTTTGGTGGAAAGTGCGTACAGGCTTCTGTCAGAATATCAGAGTGTATTTTGAGGGCTACACTGATCAGATTCAATAATGCTGGCTACATATGGGTCCATTTCATATCTCATTGCCAGAGATTCAAGTCCCCTTACAGTGTGGCCTTATACAGATGAAGCACAGAAAATAAACTTTGATTGCAGGGAGCAGTCCTGCCTGCAGGGTCCGAGTAACAGTGTATGAGTGCAAATGCTGCTGGCCACATTTTATCCTATGGTGGGGGACTTTAAGACTCTGCCCTCAGCTCCAGGCATTAATGCCTTTCAGAGGAGAAGAGTCATCTTCCTCTACCACCCACGGTAGCAGCAGGTGATGGGGGAACACCTCCTAGGTATGGACGGGGCTTCCAGGAAACACATAACATGCTGTCTAAGGCTGAGGCAACGCCTGGCCTCATTCCCCACGCTGGGAATAGCTACCAGCAAACCAATGCAGTAAGGGGTAGCTTACGATCCTGGAGTGCAGACCATACATTTAGATAAGACTTGGCTGATGTAATAATTTTCATTATGTTAAAATACTGAGAAAGTCTTGGCCCCAGCTACTGGAGGTAATAGTAAAAGGTAATAGAATTCACAGGAGTTGTGAAATTAAGGACCGTTTCTCAGCCTTACAGAAAGTACTGACAATAACAAAAGGAGGAGAGCCCCATTCTAATAAAGGACCACCTCTAACAGCAGGGGACAGGCTTCCAGAGAGAGGATATGCTCGGGTTCCTCACTGACACACAACAGATCGCCCAGGGGCTTTTCTTATTTCCTGCCTATCAACACTATCACAGCCGTGACTGTTCTGCCCACGAGACATAGGCTCTGTGCCGGACACTGTCGGGTGGTTGGCTTTTTCTCAGTTTGTGGCTTTAAATTCAAAACTGTTCACTCCCCAGGAGGAAGATGGAGGAGAAATATTAATCCTTAACTGAGAGATAATTCTTGGGGGAGTGGAGTTGAGTGCTTTGGTTGAAAATATAGGCCCAGTTGCACCCCCTCCCTCCTCCTCCTCCTCGTTCACTGTCATCATTGTCTTCTTGGTCATCTTTGTGGCCTCCTCCGCCTCATTCTCCTCTTGGTCCTCCTCCTCCTCTTTCTCTTCTTTGCTCTCTCTTTCTCTCAGCTTTGTTGAAATATAATTTACATGCCTTAGAATTAATCAATGTAAATGTACAGCTCAATTATTTTTAGTAAATTTGCATAGTTGTGCAGCCATCAGCACAATCCATTTTAAAGCACTTCCACCACCCCCTAAAATTCCCGTGTGCCTGTTTGCAGCCGGTCCCAGCTCCCAGCCCCAGCCCTTAGCAACCTGGCCTGCTTTCTGTCTCCATCACGTTGCCTTTTCTAGAAATTTCAGATAAATGGAACCGCACGCTGCGAGGCTTTTTGCGTCCATCTCCTTTCACTTAGCATAATGTTTGTGAGTTGCATCCATGCCGTTGCATCCATCAGGGTCGTCTGCTCCTCTTTACTGCTGAGCAGTGTATTTCATTGTGTGTTTATCCGTTCACCAGCTGACGGGCATTTGGACTGATTCCAGGTTTGGGTTACTGTGACTAATGCTGCTTCCTGGCTTATTCTTGGCCTGGTGGTTAAGGCTGCGTATAGGTCCTTTGTTCACTGACCAAGGTGTAAAGGTCTGTGTTCCTGGTCCCTGAACTGTCTGAGGGAATGACAGCGTCCTCACCTTTTCCTTATACTGAGGTCTGGCTCCCAGCAGGGCTGTATCAGTGTGGCTAAACTAAGCTGCCCTCTAGTAACATTTTGTGTGTGTGTGTGTGTGATTTTTAAAATTGTGAAGCCCTTGGAAATTTGGATGAGAGGCATTAAAGTATCACAAGAATGGAAAAGCAAGAATCTAATGTACTCGATTCTAATATGAAGCCAGCAGACGATCTAAAACCTGCTCACATAAGAGAAAAAACTCAAATCAATTCAAGGTGGGGGACAGGGGAATGAGGGGGCAGGGAGAGGGGAGGAGGGAGGGAGATATGGGGTAAAGGTGTATGACACACCTCTTGGGGGTGGGGCACAATTATAAGAGGGACTTTACCTAACAAAGGCAAATAGTATAACCTAATTCTTTGTATCCTCAGTGAACCAGAACCAATATAAAATAAATAAATAAAATTAAAAGAAAAAGAAAAAAAGAAATTTGGTTGTGAGGCTATAAAGATGAGGGGAACTAAAAAATAAATCCCAAACCTAAATAACACACACAAAAAAGTGAGTAACTCACAAAAGTGAGTTACTCACAAAAAAGTGAGTAACAAACATCTAAAAATTGAGTGTTAAACAGACTGGAAAAACAAAAATCAAACAGAGCATCCATTCTGTTGGACGATCATTTCTAGAGGGATGTGTTCAGTCGCTGTGATCAAAGTGCCAGAATGATAGGGGAGACAGGACAAAGAGAGAGGCATTTCTTTTCTCACGTTTTGCTTTTTAGCAGAATGAAGATGTACGTTGGGACTGCTCATCTGACAGCGTACCCTGCACTCTGCGGACAAGGGGAGGCTGCCTACGTGAGTTTGGATCGTGCTCCACCACAAATATATGTTAAAAAGAAAACGGCATCCAGGGGAAGTGATCTCTTCAATAAGAGGGAAGGGTCTGGGATTCAGAAAGATTATCTAAAGGCTTAAGTGCTGCTCTGCTATTTTAAATCTGTCTTGAACAACAATAAAAAAGATTTGAGAACAATTAAGAAGCAGTGATGATCTGGTAAAAATAGGTAACTATAAAAAGCACTAAAGGGAACGCTTGAAAAATGTGAACACACACAAATCAGCAGGTCCTAGCAACACGTGCTCCTGGGTGGGGGGCAACCAGCTGGGTGAGGGGCAACATGCTTCAGTGTGAAAATAGGTTGGTTTTCTTTTGCAGAGTCATGAAGTCCTGGGGAGGAAAGTGGGAATATGAGGTGGGGAAAAGAAACAAAGCAATGCAGGTTCCACATTTTAAAACAAAAACAAGGAGAGGAAGAGCCATTCTGGAGAGTCCAAATTAAGTTTTCAGTGAAATAATGGAGGCGAAGATTAGGAGAGATTTTAGAAATGCAGTTAATACCAACAAAAACATGAGATCCTGGGGGAGCTCCACTTAGCGGTTCCAAGGAGAAATTACCAACAAGAATAAATTACTTTTTTAGGACCCAACTTCAAGGAGTGAATAGAGTGAAGATGATTTCATTTCTAGGTTTTAGCCAACCGATTCTTTGCCAGTCTCCAGGGTAATTACTGTGCTTGGGAGAGCTATTCAGAGTGACCTGGCTCAGCGCACCATCAAACAGATGGGACAACCAGAAACAAAAGGTATCGGCATATGGTGATGTATCTGTTGAGGAACCAAGAAGGCACCTTGCAGATGTCTCAGGGATTAGGGAAAAGCTGCCTCTTCTGAGACCATCTTCACTAGGGACTGCCCACTGAGAGGCAGCCTCCTGGTTCACCTGGCCAGCTCCATGGCTGTCTTGTATGGACTTTATAGAAACATGGCTCAACACCAGTGGATTCTGAAATCTAAAAGCATATAAAATTCATAGTCTGTGAAATAATATCAAAAAATAAAATGAGGGGCTTGGCACCTGTAGGACAGTGGTTATGGCGTCAGCCACATACACTGAGGGTGGTGGGTTCAAACCCTGCCAGGGCCAGCTAAATAATGGTGACAACTGCAGCAAAAAATAGCCAGGTGCGTGGCAGTCGCCTGTATCCTAGCTACTTGAAAGGCTGAGGCAAGAAACTCACTTAAGCCTAAGAGTTGGAGGTTGCTGTGAGCAATGATGCACTCTATTAAGGGCACTCTACCAAGGGCAACATAGTGAGATTCTGTCTCAAAAAAATAAATAAAAATTATAATAATAGCTCACAAAACACTTTTGTATAATCTAAATTTGCAGATAATATGGTAATTTAATCCAAGTCTGAAATCTAAAAAAAAAAAAAAAAAATTAAAAGGTTACCTATTCCAAAGGTGACACAAACTCTCCAAAACACTTGGGGGTTGGTATCAAAGACTGCAATTTTTGGTCTTCTGCTTTATGGATGAAGGTCTATGCCCACATTCCTGCATGATGTTCTGCTTTCTCAGTGATAGTCACCCTGTCGGTGGATGGGGCGCCAAAGACAGTGAGTGGCATTTGTCCTATGGAAGTGATGGCATGGGCCCCTGGATTGTCATCAGATGGTAGGTTTAGGAACCAGGGGAGAGTGAGCTCTGACTGCAGAGAATTTAGAGGAAAGATTTCTGCCACTCAGAGTCTTTGGCAGTGAGGCTACTGTCCCCTGGAGCCTGGCAAGGCTCTCTCTGGAACGTGCCTCTCATTGTCCTCTGATACCCTGGCTCCCCAGCTCACGGTCATGTCCACAATGGGAGCCTACTTCTTTTCTTAATGTGCAGGACAAAGGTAAAACTACCCCCAAAATAACTGGATGAGGCTCATGGCAGGTGGCAGGCGACATCTCAGGTGCTCCTGTTTCCTGTCAAGGGTGGACAGTATGGGCTTCCATTGGCTATTATCATGGGGGAGACCATGTCTGGTCCTTATTTGAAGATAAGAGGACGCCATGAAAGGTTTCAGTGCTTGAGGTTGCCTTTTCACTGGCCCCTCTGGCTACGGCCTGGAGAACTCCCCACCCTATGTTTTCTCTGTCTACCACACTCACCCTTCCCTGGCTATCTGAGACCACTGAGGACTGACTCCCCGCTGACTTCCAACCCAGGTTCATCCCCCCTTGGAGGAGCCTGCCACATCAGAAACCATACTTTAGGCTATTCTCCCCTCGTGATGACTGCAGTCATCTGCAGTGTTTGAAGCCGTTCCCCTTTGTTTTGTGGTGCATAATATCTGACTGCACGGCAGTGCTGTCATTTTTGGCTCCATGGCAGAATTTCACCATTTCACTCTCCTGCATCTTGGTGAAAGCCACACCATCATTCACTGCTAAGCTGACAGGGAATCTTTGAGACTCCCTATCTCTGTGACTGCCTGAGGAGTTTGAGTCAAAGGAGTCATTGATCATTTCAATATAATTGCATAAACTTTAGCTGTGCTACAGTCAGCTCTTACGGAGGTTTGACAATGAGCTCTAACAAAGGCACACAACTAATATAAATTTATTGCTTCAGGACTAGCTGCAGATCAAACTGAACAAAAGGAAGGCTTTGAATAAGGGGGAAATACAAAGATCTGGTACTTAGGTTCGTAAACTTGCCACCATGCGACCCTGACAGCACTTTATGGACAGCTTGGTAAGGTTTCATAGCCTTGGCCCATCAGTGTCTCACAGATGTCATGTGGTGGTGTCTTGCTGAGTGGTGTTCATTATTGTTGCTGCCTGTTTTTGTGTGTTATTGTGAGAACGTTGGAGCTTGAATTAGAGCAATGAACAAACATTAAGTATTTTGTTAAACTTGGCAAAAGTGGAAGTAAAATCAGGGACATGTTAGTCTAAGTTTATGGGGATCATGCCATGAAGAAAATGGCAATGTACCAATGAATTAAACATTTTTCTGATGGCAGAGAAGGCAGCATGGATGAAGAGAGGTCAGGGAGCCAGTAAGAAGCAGAACTGATGAAAACACTGCACAAATTCATTGAATTGTGCATCAGAATCATCAGTTGATTGTGAGAAGCATACCAGACCAAGTAAGCATCAATAGAGGAAAAGTTAGGAAAACCTTAACTGAAAATCTCGGCATGAGAAAGGTATGTGCAAAAATGGTCCCAAAGGAGCTCACCAACGTACACTGTCTGTGAGGGACTTTTTGGCCAGTAAACAAAAAACTATATTGGAACACCCTCCCTACTCACCTTAGCTGCCACCCAATGATATTTTTCTTTACCTGAAGATAAAGGAAACATTAAAAGGAAGACATTTTGATGATATTCAGGACATCAGGGATAACACAATGATAGTTCTGATGGCCGTTCCAGCAAAAGAGTTCTGAAATTGCTTTAAAGGGTGGACTAGGTGCTGTTGTTGGTGCACAGCTTCCCAAGGGCAGGACTTCTAAGGCAACCTTAGTGATATTTAGCGCTGAGGTATCCAGCACCTTTTCTAGGATGAGTTTCTGAACTTAATTGTCAGGTATCGTATTATTCATTATATTGTTTGATAATTTTCAAAGCAAGGCTGCAAAATCTCAGAATTTTAGTTAATGGCGAGATATATATTTTTTCCAATTTTAAAGAGACTCGATTTCTAAAAACACAAGCTTTTAAAATTACTATTATGACTTAAGTAATTTAGAAATTCTCTCAAGAGTGAAACAATTCTCCATCAAAGAAGCAAAACCAATTGTTTGGCTCTGTGACTTTAGGTTTATAGGTTTTGTGTTTATTTATTTATTTTTTAAAAACTGTGGTCATGTGGCAATGACTTAGAAACCTTCCAAATATCCAGTCAATCCACCCAATCAAACTCGTTCATATATGCCAAGTAGCCTATTTTGGCTTCTGAATATGAATTTCACTCCTTGCTGTACAGATGCTATCATTCCCTCCTCACCAAAGTGAGAGGGGTCAAATTTAACTTATTAACTGGGCTGAAGGGACATGAGATGCCCTATAGGTGGGGAGGAATGAGGTATCCTTCAGTGCTCCAGACGCTTGCTCCCCTTTCTCCACCAAGATGCCAAAGACTAAGATCTTGCTGTTTGGAAAAAAAAAAATCTTCTAAATGTAACATGGCTAACCCATTTGGGGCACGGGGATTTGTTTCAACAAATTCTTTGTGTTAAAATGCTTTATATATCTGTTTAAAGGCCTTGTCAGTTTCTGTTTAAATGTTTTTTAAAAGGTCAAGCTGAGACGTTAGTAACTTAGGACAGCAGTTTGCAGCACAGCCTGCAAGCCAGAACTCCAGTTCTACTTAGGGAAGTGTTTAATGAGCCACATTGCTTGTTAAATGTATTGATTTATGGAAGGAACACAAAGAGAGAGGGCTTTCCTCTCAAAAGGAAAGCCCTAAGAAATCATGGGGTAAAGCTAACCCTTTTAGAGGAAAAGCAGTTGGCTGTTGGCAAGGGGGTGAATCCAGCCCCCTCTCCTCTGCTACCCTGGAATAGGGGCCTGGGACTTCTGCCTATGAAGGGATACATAGAAATCTAACCAGAGAAGAGCCAGGTCCAGCCCCAGGAAGGTGAAAAGACCTCAGGGCTGTGAGCCTCTTTTCCAGAAGAGGAGCTTTCCTGAGGGTTATTGGTGACAAGCCACATGGAAGTGCTGATGGAGCAGAGAGGTACAGTCATCAGGGTAGCTCTGATTCTTAAAGTATTCAGGGTTGGCTTAAAAAGTGATAGACTGACAAAAGACAGGTTACTAATTTGTTAAAATGTTTTTCAAATTGTTTAGCTCACTCAGTGTTTAATAGTGCTGAACAAAGCTTGCATTTGAATTTTTTTTTTTTAACAGACAGGGCCTCACTCTGTCACCCAGGCTGGAAGGCAGTGGCATAGCTTACTGTAACCTCAATCTCCTGGGTTCATGTAATCTTCCTGCCTAAGCCTCCTGGGTAGCAGGGACTATAGGTGTGCACCACAATGCCTAACTTTTAAATTAAATTAAATTAAATTTTATCATTTTATTTTTATAGAGATAGAGTCTTATTATGTTGCCAGGCTGGTCTTGAATTTCTAGTCTTAAGTGATCCTCCCTTCTTGGCCTCCCAAAGTGCAGGGATTACAGGCATGAGCCACTGTACTCTGCCATGTTTGGCTGTTTTAACGAAGATGGAAACAAAAATTGGAGCTGAGAGAAAAAAGGATACAGGCCTTTGCCTTTCACTTCACCATGGCATAGAAAGCTGGGGTTGAACAAAGGGGGCCCTGCCAGGACTGCTGGCCACCTGGCTGCAGCACACGCAGCTGCCTGGGGCCAGCCAGGAGGGACGGCACAGCCTCCAGGCGCTCGCCTGCACCCTCCCCTTACCTGCGATGCCCTCCTGGTTGTAGCACGTCTTATGCATCTTGCCCATGAAGAGCTCCAGGCCGATGATGGCGTAGATGATGATGACGAAAAGCACGAGCAGGGCAATGTGTAGCAGGGGGACCATGGCCTTGATGATGGAGTTCAGAACCACCTGCAGACCTGCAACAACACAGTCATGAGCAGGGAGCTGGCTGGAGCCTCAGCCTCCACTGGCAAACGGAGCACTGGCCTGGACGCCATGCTGACGCGAGCCCACACGCTCTCTCCGGCAGCTGCACCAGTGGGTATCACAGGCCCCAGTTTTTAGAGGGGAGAAATTGAGGCTTAAGGTCACACATTCAGTGGGTGGCAGAACAGAGATATAAATCCAGGTTGGCCTGATCCAAATCTGTCTTGGAGGCAAATACGAAGAAAAGGACTGGCAGATGCTGTGCTTCCGAGGGGAAGGACATGTTGTTTTCATCCATAACCACCAATTTCTCTAATATCCCATCTCGGAGACAACTGAGCATCTTTTCCTCGGAGAGCAGCATCTCAGCACAGTGAGAACTCACTTGGACTAGACACAGCCACACAGGGACTTTATCTACCAAAGTTTTCCTCATGGTGGCCTTGGAAAAAGTTCTGGAGATAGATGGTGGTGACGGTTGCACAACCATGCGAATATATTTAGCAACACTGAATTATACACTCAAAAATGGTTGAAATGGTGAATTTTGTTATGCACACATACCACAAGAAAAAAATGTTTTTTTAAAAAAAAGTTCCCAGATCCCTTTAGAAAAATAAAAGTCAATGAAAAGCCCCATTGAGCGCATGGTCTCTCGCAGGCCTGCAGGGGTGTGGGATTGACTCAACCGGACAAAGACCCCTTTCTTCAAAGCTCAACTACACCACAAAGTTCACACCAAGAATGCAAATTGTTTAAAGAGGATGCTACAAATTTTCCTTTGAAAATGGCACAAAGGTAGCTACCTATAAGTCACCCAGATTATACGCAGCCCCAGGAAAGTCACTTGTGGGATTTCTGCCCATACTGCATGCCCAAGGCCTCACATCCTAGGGGATAGGGCAGCTTCTCTTCCCTTCCAGCTCGGTCGGTTGTGTGGGAAGTCATCTCGGGGGCTATCTTTGACACACATGGCATAGGACACCCTCTTGGAGTCATGCCACTTGAGTCACTTCTAGTATCTTTACCTGACTTGCCTGCCTCCCCATTGTCTCATCCCAGCCACACTCTATGCACCACGCACAGGGAGTGTCACCTTTATACCTTCATCACCGATAAACAAAACCTTGACCACCCTCTCCCCAAACCCCGAGGCACTCACTGGTTCTTTGTGCTCTTGTTGGTGGCCACTATATCCCAAATAACCATTACTTATAGAACGCTGCTGGACAGGCCCTGGTAGGGCTGGACCAGCCCACGTACCACCATCTGAAGTTATTTATTGACATACAAGGCCTTGTCTCATAGATAAAGTTAAAAAACTGGATGCCCCAAAGATCATAGTGACAAATCAAAGATCCAGTGTACAAAGTAAAGTTAGTAATGCCTTAATATTTAAGTAGTGACCAACTATGAATTTAGTCTAAAATAGAAATACTTTAAAGGGATAACCACTTTAAAATAGGGAGAGACTATGTAACCTATCAACCTATGAGAAGAAAGTTGTTTAATATGTACTATGATGATTAGCAGCATGGCTAATATATACTTTTACTATAAAAATAATAAAGAAAAACAAGAGGGCAGAACAGTGCTTTAAAGAGATACCCTTGTTGTTCTCCAAAATTGCTAACTTTTTTATAAATAAAATTGTTGATCGTTCATCTACTTCTCTACTGATGGACTTTGGTGACAGGTGAACAGACTCCTCAGTCCGATAACACTCTGGTGGAGTGGTTTTCACAAGGCTAATTAGAAGCATTCTCCCCAGCTATTAAGTCAAGCTGGGGGAAAAAAAATAAAAGAAGAGAAAGCTGGAATAATTTTACCTGTGAATTAATGAGAGTGCTTTGCAGTCTCCCATTAGAACAAGATGTTTTCAGATCCAAATGATTCCATTAATTAGCAAGTTGTACACACATTAGCGTTAAAGTATGCGAAGCCACGAAGAAAGTTGGAAACTGAACTGCAAAGCGACTTTTAGAAGTGTCTGCAGGGGGGAGAGTGTTCTCAGTGCTACTCACAGAGGGGGAGGGAAAACCCCTGACCCAGTCTGCCAAGGCCAGGAGGGGAGGTGTCCCATCAGGCCTTTAGGGGCACAACTGGCAAGGAAACTGTGGACCTGGGAAACAGGAGATGCCAGGCGGGAAGCTCCACTCTGGGCCGCAGCCAGAGGGGCAGGTCCACAGGCCTGCTGGAAACTTAGTGGGTGTTCCTGCTCTTAAGATGAAGACCAAGATCCTTCTCGTGACTTTCAAGGCCCTGCAGGGTCCACCTGCCCTCCTTCCCCAGGAAAACACTTCTTATAGAGACTCAAATATGCTCTACTTCTTCCTACCACAGGGCTCCCACATGTGCTGTTCCCTCTGCCTGGAATGCTTTTCCCCAACTCCTCAAGGTGCTCTGAAGACTCACCAATGTTTTGCTGCTTAGAGCAACTTTAAAACATTTTTGTTTGTCTCACTCTTTAGGCTAAGGTTTGTGAAGCTAGGGACTGTGCCTGCTTTTCTCACCATTTTATCACTCACGCTGGCTTGGTACAGAGCATACAGTGGGCACTCAGAGGATATAAAGGAGTAACAAAACTCACCATCTAAGCAAACACTGAGGCTACTGTGGAGAGCTGGTCAGCTTTGCTACACCAGAGGCTGCTTTCCAGGCAGGTGAGTTTCAGGGCCTGCAGGGGGCATGGAGGCTGCCAGGCAGGCTGCAGAGAGGCCAAGAGGGAGTTGAAGTGGCCTGTGGACCTCATTTCAGCTGCCAAGGAAGCTGTTGGAATTCCTATATAATGCTCTGCTGCTCATGTCCCCACCCTGCTCGGGGGGCCTCGGCACCCACTAGAGCATCCCAGCCAGAAAACTGATCTCCCAGGCTCCTCCCTCCACTTGGTTACCAAGTCCTGCCAGTTTGGTGCGGAGGTATTTTTAGAGATGCATAAATTATTCCTACTATATAAATAATACATGCGAGTTACAGACAAAATAGGAAATACTTATAAAGAATTAGAAAACACGGGAAAGGAAAAAGAAAAAGGCAATCGCTCATTGTCCCACCACTCACAGACAGCCACTGGTAACCTTTCGGTTTAGATTTTAGACACCGGGGTCTGTGGGTCACTAGCCTCCCCTCTGTCTCCTTGGCTGTGTCATTTAGGTAAGTGTCTCCCTACTTCCAGCTCTGCCCTGTCTTTGAGCTGCAGTGACACTGCTCTTACTAAAGCACATACTAAAATGTGTCCCTCCTGAGCATGAAGTCACCAATGGCTCCCTATCACCTACTCGTCCCCCAGTTTGATCTCTTGTGATGCCCAGTTTATAGCTCACACTTAGCGATCTGTCCCCTGCCTTAAGTTCCCTGGCCCCACAGTTGCTGCCGCAGCACATGTGCTCTTTCTGCCTGGAATGCCGTTCCCTGCCCCACAGAGGGCTCCTCCAGTCTCATCCCATCTGCCTGTCTTTGTGTCTCAAGCATGCAGTCAGGACTCCCTGCACACGGAGCTAAGTCACACAGGCGGCCTTCAGAAGACAGAAACCACAATTACGAAGGACCGACACCCACGTCATTCAATGGTCAGTAGAAGAAAGTGAAGACGCTTTGTTAGGAAAGGACAGGCTTGTGGAAGGGAGAAAAGATACAAGCAGGAAAGGGTGATGGCAATGGTTTTTACATGATTTCCACTGCTATTTTGAGGAAGATGGATTAGATTATTTCTATCTGACCCCAGGGATGGAACTAGGAACAACTAAGAAGTACCTGGGAAAGACTTATGTTTAACACAAATAAAAATCGTCCATGAAACAGGCTTGTCTGAAGGTGGAGTGGGCTGTCCATGACAGAATGTATAAGGAAAGTGCTGAGTCACTGAACCAGGAAGGGAGGAGTTTGGGTCTAGGGCGGCGGTGGGCACAAGTTTACGCTGATGGACTCAAGAGGTAGTGGATTCCCCATCCTTAGGGGTATTTAAGCAGCTACTAAAAAAGCTCTTGAAGAAGTGGCTTGGTGGGGATTGAACCACTGGGTGAAGGACTGTCCTAGAATACCAAAGACCCCTATAACCTCACTAACATGCTCTGAAGACTTACCATGGGCCAAGTGCAGCTCTACTTGACTTATTCCATTTCCTTCTGACAACAATCTGATGAAGTAGGTACTATTGGTGATGAGAGAGAAGTGAGTCAAGGAGGTGAAATCACCTATGTACAGTTAGTTACACAGCTCAGGAGTGGCGACACAGCTCAGGAGTGGCGACAGCCAAGTGGGCTGGCTCCAGAGCCCATGGCCCTCCACCCCCACAATCTGCGCTGGTAAGGCAGTGACACATGTTCTCAGCATCTGCCAGAGGGGAGGGAAGCCTAGCTTAGCCCCTGCTTCTGAGACAGCCCAGATGCTCTGAGGCTGGCATGTGAGGCATGGGGCCAGAACTCCTTCTGTCTACCCCACATGCAGAGTTCGCCTCTCAGGGCCTGGACGGCTAACAGCTTCTTCTTGGGACTGGCTCACAGCTGCCCCAGAAACAGCTCCTCCAACTCAAGTTCTAATTTGGAAAACACATGACACTGTCCTCAGACAGGCCATGCTCACTGTCCTCAGACAGGCTGCTAAGTAATACTAAGCTCTTCTCCAGGGCTGGCTTCTCATGGTGGTGGAAGAGAATGGGCCCTAGAGAAGCCTGGGGAAGCAACTGCTGTCAAATGCCCTGTGAACACAGGTCATTATCGGTCCACACGCACAAGGAGCCTGGGTTCCTTGACGTGAGATCTGACAAATCCACGTGAAGCATGGGACCAAACAGGGTAGAATGTGTGAGGCGAGAATCATGCTGGGGAATACGGTTCCACACAGCAATCAAATCACATAGAATGTAGAAATCTAGTCTTACTAATTTGCAGTTCATGTCTGATGACTTCTTCTTAGTGGATGGAAAGACTGTCTAGGGAGATGGAGCTCTGGGAAGTGGCATCATTAACTGGTGGGATTAGGAAAAGAACAG